AGCACGACAACACCTTCCCAACGAGGTATAACACTATGGGCTTTTGATGAGCCAATCCTTAAAAAAATGCATTTTTCTGATCAGACATTAGGGGCTTCCCCCACCCTCTCTGTCGAGAGATAGAACAAATTGTCAATAACAACAGTTATGATGAATGAATCCGTCTATCCATATTTGTACTATTTAATATATCTGAATAGGAAACATTTCTGAGAAAAATTCAACTCTATGTATTGGTATGTAAATTGCGCCTCCTAGCGGCCGAGCTACGAACTTGAAAACTATTTATTTATCAAATTTTTTTCCCGAAGCTCTCGGGCCTATACTTTCTATAATATCGTACCTCTCCGACCTTAGTGGGATACCCTGTATATACATTTATATAAATGTATTTCTAAAGGTTCGAATAGAAAATAATATTTTAGGAAACTTTATTTATATACATACTACAAAAATTGTAGATATCGTAGACATTATCCTCATCCTGATTGGAAAAAATAGTGGGATAAATAAAACAGAACTTAATAATCTGTTATTTCGTTAGTTATAGTTTATACCTGATTTTCGTAATTCTTGTAAAAATAATTGTTTCAAATTTTCATTGCTGTGTGTTAAATCGTTTTAGTACAGGAACCCAAATTAAACGCCTCTTGATTTTATGTATTGCGGCAAATGAAAGAAATCGTGTAAGCGACAAAAGTATACACGTACCGGAACAACTAACTAATAAATACAGTTCATGCTACAACACGCAAACAGCTATGAGAAAACACGTTTGTAATTGTATAAGAAATGAAGGCAGTTACTGTGAAAATCAAATGTAGCCAGAAAAATATCAACAGTTTATGCAGTTGTGTTTTATTTATCCTACTATTTTTGTATTCATAATGATATAAACGTATGTAATACCGTTTCAATTATATACCTATGTACAAATAGTGTACAGTATAGTATACCTCATTCGAAAGGTTATAAAGCATAAAAGCTTTCAAAGTACAAGTGTAAATACATTCACACGACACGACTATAAATTTTAATTTAGTTATGTAATGGCAAGTACAGGATTTAGTTTCAAGTTTTGAGTTTTTATTATATCAAAATTTTTATTATAATATTTGTTACACAACTTGCGTTATTGTGTTTACAAGAAACACAAAAATTAAAATATCTCCAAAACTGTGTTTTAAATAATATGTACCTATATACAGGGTGATTCAGTCATAATGTCATTAATTGTAAGAAAAGATAGGAAAAAATTTGTAGAGTACGATTACGCAATTAAAAAATTTTTAAAATGCATAATAAAAAATATTTTCAAATCATTATTTAAACCCCTTTTCGGACTGCTCCTGACCGCTGAGTGAATCTTCACCTACCTTATTCGGTCACTAACCTAGCTTAACTTTTTTACCTAAACACATGAATGAATAAGATATTTTTGTGTGGTTAGTATTATGTTCAACTAGGTAATTATTCAGTTTGTAGTACGTATACATTATTGCGTGTGGCTAAAAAAGTATTCACCCATCCGTCCATAACACTTTGTTAAGTTGGGAGTTAATGGGTAACTTGCTTATTTTTTAAAAGGTGGAGTAAAATTTTTTTTTCTATATTTATTTGGCCTTCCGAATGCGTGGTTAAAATTAATGATATACTGACTGAATCACCCTATGTATATAAAGGGTGTTAAAAAAAGAGTGTAAAATATTTGAGGATGTAATAGTATGAACCAAAATAAGCAGAAAAGTCTTAATAAACATGGGTCCGCAAAGTAACGGTTGCAGAGATATGGACCACTATTCGTTTTTCAAACATTTTATTTTATTAGAACGAACAAAAAAACAAAGTTACAGAAGATGTTCAAAGTGCCCTCCGTCCATTTCCAAGCAGGCACGACATCTTCGTCTCAACGATATTCGAAATATTTCGAAAACACCCTCCTTGGTTTGGATTTCTTGACACTTTTGATTAATCCGTAGCTGCAGCTCTTCCAGGCTATTTACACTAATGTATTCAAATATCCCGAAACAAATCTAGAGGGTTAAGATCAGGCGATCATGGAGGTCATAAAACAGGTCCCTTCCTACCCATCTATGTGGAAAAGTTTGGTGTAAATGCTCTCTAACGGCCATGGAAAAATGAGCTGGAGCACCATCATGCTGGAACCACATTTGTTGCCTCTGATTCAAAGGAATGTTTTCCAAAAACTCATACAGTGTGTTCTGCAGAAAGTTGAGGTAAGCAGCGCCTGTTAATCGGTTTGGTAAAACAACAGGACCTAGAAACCTGTCACCTACAATACCCATCCAAATGTTTAATGAAAAACGTGCCTGATGTCCAGATTCTATTAGAGCATGAGGATTTTCGTCGGCCCAAATATGCGTATTGTGAAAATTCTTGTGAACCCGGCCTCATCAGTAAAAAGAATGTTTGCAAGAAAACCAAACGTGCTTGATGATCATTTATTGGATTTAAGGCCTGTACTCGTTGCACATGGTATGGGTAAAGCAGTTGCTCGTGAAGGATTCTCCAAACAAGAGGACCACTAACTTCTACCTCGGCTGATATTCTCCGCATACTCGTACCTGGATTCTGCTCTACCAGTGTTAGAATTTCTTCTTCTGCTCTAGGAGTGGGTACCGACCTTGATCTTCCGGATAAATGGCACTGTTTGCTCAAGGAACCGGTATCACGCAATCTTTGGTGAATTCTTCCAAACATGCGTTGTGAAGGAATCTGGCGATTTGGATAAGCGTCAACATAAAGACGTCGCGCTTCGGTGGCGTTCCCATTAGCACGACCATACATGAAATGCATGTCTGTTAATTCTGCGTTAGAGTAACCAGCCATAGCGAAAGAAAACTTGTGCACTGAGAACAACTGTCAAATACGTACTGTTTATTTCACTAAACATCAACCAACTATTATAAGAAAATACACAACGTTTTTGCAAAATAAAAAAGGGGCAAAAAAACATAAAACATTCCATATCTCCGCAACCGTTACTTTGCGGACCCATGTTTATTGAGACTTTTCTGCTTATTTTGGTTCATACTATTACCTCCTTAAATATTTTACACTCTTTTTTAACACCCTGTACACCCCTGTATAATATATACAGGGGTAACAAAAATAAGGTTAGGGGTGTGTAACAAAAATAAGGTTACAAACTTGGCTAGCAGATAGAACACTTACAATTAGTAGAGGTATATGGTATATCATATAAAATTTTTGCTTAAAGTGTGACCTTGGTGAGATAGAGGCTGCTGAAATGTTGAAAGAAAATATTTTTTTTTCAAATATTTTGAAAACGGTAGGAAAAAATAATCCCAAATACTACACTACATACCCCTCATAACCTGAAACCTTCAATGATTAAAAGTATAACACAGGTATGGAAAACGGACCCCTTTTTTCTTAACGAGCTATTGGTGAAACTCCAAATGTCAGTACTCGGCAATTAGCCAGACAATTTAATACTAACCAAATGACCACTTGCAGGGCATTACATAAGCAGTTCCTTTACCCTTATCATTTACAACGAGTTCAAGCTCTCACGCCTGCTGAGAGAAAATTTTTGCAGATGGTTTATTCAGCAAGCGACTAACCCAAGATTTATTACATTATTGGCCACAGATGAGACAACATTTACCAGAAATTGTGTTCATAATTGCCATAATGAAGATCAATGGGCAGACGAGAACCCTCATGCAATAATTGAAGGCAGGGATCAAGTTAACTTCAGGATAAATGTATAGGAGATTATCTAATTGTTCCTTATATTTTTCCATAACTTCTTACTGGAGATGTGTATTATAACTTCTTAATAGATACGTTACCACAACTTCTGGAAGATGTAGCATTAGAGACACGAGCTAACTTATGGTACATGCCGATGGTACCCCCCTCATTTTCATCGCGCTGTTTGTGATCTTCTTAATCAGATCCCAACAGGTGGATAGGCAGGGCAGGACCAGTTGCTACGTCTCCACGGACTCCTGTCCTTAATCCTATGGATTTCTATCTGTGGGGCCATCTGAAATGATTAGTATGTGAATTGCTGATAACCGATGAAGAATCCGCAATTTTCCTGGAATATTTCAAAGGGTACGCTTAAATATGTTTGACGTGCCCGAGCATGTATTGTATCTAAGGAAGGATATTTTCAACATTTATAAGACAGAACAGTATAGTTTGTTTTAGAGTGTCTGTTTCATTTTATTATGTGATATTTTGTTAGTAGTACAAATGTTATTATCTACAAATAAAACATAACATTTTTCTTAGAAATGTTCTGAAGCAAAACTGGTCTTTTTTTCGTACAACAAACTGGAGATGAGAACGAAGGCTCGCCCGAAAAAAAGTGAAGTTACACATTTTGCTCTAAAGGGAAAAGGCAATTTAAAAATATTCAACTAATTTTTGTTTTAAGTCAGTGGCGTAAAAAAAGTGGTCCGGCTTCTCTATATGTCCGCCTCTGGATTACATTTTTAATCATTAAAGGCTTCAGATTATGAGGGGTACATATGTAGTGTAGTATTCGTGACAAATTTGGGATTATTCTTTCCTACCGTTTTCAAGATATTTGAAAAAAAAATTCCAACTTTTCAACACCCTGCATCTCACCAAAGAAGCACTTTAGGCAAATATTTCAAATGAAGTACCCCTACTAATTGTAAGTGTCCTATCTGCTGACGAAGTTTGTAAGCTTATTTTTGTTACACCCTGTATAATTATATACAGGGTTGGAAGCTATTGGTGAAACTCCAAATGTCAGTACTCGGCAATTAGCCAGACAATTTAATACTAACCAAATGACCACTGTATATTAATACAGGAGGATTCCAGAGGAAAGAGAAGTATTGCAGGGGTAGATTCAGGGGGTCAAAATAAGAAAAGTAAACCCATAAGTTATAGTCCAAATGTCAACTATCGTTGAAATAACTAAACATTTATTTAAAGAAATTTTAAGGTATGTTCCTCTAAATGTTCAACAACGGTTATACTTCCAACATGATGGAGCCCCTCCCCACTTTACTCTGCATACTCTGCTTTACATTTTCCTGGACGCGAGATTGGTAGAGGGAGTCCAATAAATTGGTCAGCAATGTCTCCAGACCTAAACCCACTCGATTATTTTGTTTGAGGGGTGGATGAAGTCGTTGGTGTACGAAACAAGAGTATAGACACAAGGCAAGCATTACTTAATAGCTTTATGAATGCGGCCGCTGTAGTAAGAAACAATCGCGATACTAAAAATCTTGTTATTCGCAACATCAATAGAAGACGAAACAAGTGCATTGAAGTTGATAATGGTATTTTTGAAAATGTTCTTTTACCATTTATGAAATTCCTATTTCTTAGCTTTCCTTTGATAAAATAAAAATCAATATATTTTTTTTACTGCATTTATTTCAACAATAGTTGATATTCTAGTTGATATTCGGTCATTTTGTGTAGCATTTACTTTTTTGGGGATTTCAGTTGTTCTTATGTTATGTCTGTTACGCATAAAAATTTAATATACTTATGGATATAGAACCATTTAATATAAATTTACCTATTATCATCCAAACGAAAAACCTTAGCCATGTTAACAACTTGAGATGAACCATAAATTCTATGTTACACAGGATACTTAAAGCAGGTAAAAAGGGAACCATTGGCACTTTGAATTGTAATCCATTGTTATTCTGGTGGTGTGCAGAAATTATTAATAAACCTGAAATTATGTGTATTATAAAATATTTAAAAAAATAATACAAGAAAAAGATTGTATGGTGATAAGGAAAACTTAATAAAAAATTCGCTGTTTAGTCTTATTTAGTAATGATTAATGCTCTCTATATTAAACTGAATAAATTGGTACCAATATTTTAATTGTTTGCTTAAACTAGCCGATAGAGACGCTGTAATGTGAATACATTTTATCAGTTTTGACGATTTGAGTGACGTAAATAAGTTTAGATTTTGTTCACATTTTTTACTGAATTCAAATGATTTTACTCGTGATACTTTCATAAAATATATTGTCATTTTGAAGACTTTGGATTTTTTTTCGAATAAAAACATGATTTTATCGATTTAAAATGTAGGTAAGGCAGAAAATTGTACAAATCTGATTACATATACTCGTATACATCCATCTTATTTTTATGTGTATTTTATTAAATTGCACGTTGCGTTGGAATGACTCTGAGGAAGAAGTAAATTTAATTTGATACATTTTTCAATTACAATAAGTAGGAAAAATATAGAAAAAAAAGCATATCAGAAAAGTCCAGTACTCAGCGTGTCCCACTTAAAATACATATAATATAAAAAATGGTACAATATCAAATAAAAGTCAATTTTTATTCATAATTTCAAATTATTTTCGTCATACAAGATGTCCCATTTCGTCTACCTAACTTATGTTTTTCAAATGGAACACCATATTTTATAGCATTTTTAAATTTTTTTAAGGTTGATAATCAACTATGCCTAAGTCCTATTTCGGTACTATGTTATAGTAGAACAATTTAGGAGTCTCATTTAATCGGTTTATGTGGGAAATGTTGATCTAACGCTATTAATTAGTTTTTTAATTTAATCGGAATTTAACCTAATTTTGCAACTGTTTGTATTTTACATCAGGTTCCATTTTTAAAATAAACTCGTTACTTGTTTAGACCATATTCAATAAATGTACCCTATATTCTTTAGATACAGTCCACTACAGCAATATTTCATACATTACCCACGATTGAAAACTTGAAATTCTAACACCTTAATTACTATTTTTTTATTTGAAATAAATTGTGAAAACACCATTTTATTATACATATTTAGTTTTGGTGATATTTTATTTATTATTGAATATATCAGATTTTTTTTTGTGACGAAAACGTAATTTTTTTAAACATCAGTATAATATCGACGATAATGATAAGATCTACCTTCTGTTAGCTGCTAGCATTTTTCCTTACCTAATATAATAAATAACTAATTATTGCAATCAAATCGAAATGTACACTTTCACTTGCGAGATACGACTGCCCACTGCGCTTGTGCCAGACTACCATCAGGCCACCAACTGCCTTCAACGTAATCGCCTTATAGTTCAGTCCAGTCTATGGTCTCAGCCCACTTTCAAGGTCAACGAAATATTAGATCAGAGGATTTTGTCTATCCGCAGCGAAGTCGGGTTAGTTCGAGATTTTGCCGTCCGCATATTGCAGATGGCGTTGGAGGTCGCCGAAGTTTCAAAGTTTCGCCATGCGCATATTGTAGAAGGCTGCCGCCGAAGAGTTCTTGGGATTGATCTGATGAAGTCCTGGCAATGACCAGAGTAGAATGGCAAAAGACATGTGCACTAGAGAGGCTTTGAGCGGTCGTCGGGCAAAAAAACATGCACAGTAAGGTAAAGTTGATCTTGAACGATTAAGAATATCGAAAAACTAAATTGAAAAATCTCTCTGCCATACCTGATTCTGATTGGTAGTTCTGGGTTGAATGAAAAATTTCCGACATACAACGAAAAAAAAATTGATACCTAAAAGTTAATGTTTTTCCTGAACGGCTGGGAATATCGAAGAACTAAACGAAAATCCGCCCTCCCCGCAGAACTCCTTGAAACCGGTCATTCTAAGTCGAACGCAAAAAGTTCATACGATGAAAAAAACGTGAATCATAGGCCTTCGATACCTAAAGTTGGTGTATCTCCGCTACTTCTGACTTTGGCAATTCTTCGTTGAATGTAAAAAGTCCGAATGTCATACATCGAAAAACAAAAAAAAATAAGTATAACTTTTCTCGATTTTTAAGCATGTTTAATCTGTTTACGTGACAAATATGTAGGTAAACAAAATGCAGGTGGGGGAAACTGATGGCTAGCGACCACCTGCAAGTATTAAGTTACATAGGGAATAATGATTACTTTATTTACTTGTCAGAATATACAATAAGAGTATTATTATTTACTAGCAACCCGCCCCGGCTTCGCACGGGCAATTATAAAATAGCCTATGTTACTCCGAGGAGATGTAGCTTTCGGTAAAATTGGTTGAGTAGTTTTTGAGTTAAATCGTAACAAACAAAAAATCAATCATCTTTCATCTAATTCGACCCTAATATTAATTTTAAAATAATGCACGATATATCTATATACCTAAAGACAACAAACGAAACTCAAAACTAAAAATGCAAAACCTTTAAATTTAAAACAATATAGGTAACTACCAACAATGTGAAAACAAAACGAATTAAATTAAAGTACCTATGTTCAGGATTATCAATTTTAATTAATAAGTAAGTAGTTATGTATCTAACTACCTAAAGAAAACGAACACGAAACAAACATGCGACTATGAAGTTTTAAATGATTCACAATAAGAAAAAAACAAACAAATTATTAAAACTCAATGAAATAAAAGTATGTTTGTATCTATGTATGTTCCGACTACCTAAAGACAACAAATACAAAACAAAAATGTGACCTTAAAATATCGAACGCAATTATAACTTTCCAACAACACCCAGAAAGAAAACACAGTCGTCAGTCGTCACCTTCATTCGCTCCAAGTCAGTTTATTAAAGGATCACGCGCGCGTTCTCGTTCGGCTTATTAGCTAAACAGTAGGCAAGACGGTGCGGGGGGAGGGTCGGCGATCGCATCAAGCGAAGCGAGGCGCTTGAATTTTATTCTCGCGTCCGTAATTTTTTTGCAATTACTCCTAAGATATTCATTATTATTATATATTATCATACTATATGGTGTAAAAGAATAAAATAATGTTCATGAAATGCTTAAAGCCTCCAACTGATTTAAAATGATAAGGATTAAACCGTATTTGTGTAAATAGCTTTTACTTTATCGCTTTATAATCGCCAATTTTTTAAAGTATTAAAATGGATATAGGTAGTATGTTATCTTTAACATATAGACATATGCCATCGCGAACTTTTCTGTAGGCATATATAAGAATATAAGATACACAATTCCACCATACATTGATACACTACATAAACTTTCGGACTCCCCCTCCCCTCGGACGCGAGGGGTCACGGCCTGGTCGAATCACGGCGACACGAAATTAATTTTCTCCTAAGGTATTCATTTAATTTGCATGGTGTAAAGGGAAAAAATAATCTTCATGAAATGCTCAAGCCAACTAACGTATTTAAAATGATAAGGATTAATACCGTATTTGTGTAAATAGCTTTCCAATTGCCGCTTTATAATTGCCCATTTTTTAAAGTATTAAAATGGATATAGTATGTTAGCCTTAAGAGATAGACATATGCCATCGCGGACTTTTCTGTAGACCTATATAAGATACACAATTCCACCATACATTATTTTGTTATATCTCAAAGGGTTTAGGCAGCGTTTTCGTTGAAAGCTCCCAGACGGCTTATTTTTTTCCGACACCTCCAACAAATATCGTTAATGTATTCAAAAACTTAACAAATTATATACTAAAACCTTCCTCGAGAACCACTCTATCCATTGGTGAAAACAGCATGAAAATCGGTGCAGTAGTTTTTGAGTTTATCGCGAACAGACAGACAGACAGACGCGGCGGAGGACTTTGTTTTATAATATGTAGTGATTATGTTGAAGGCAACTCATGTGTTGGTTTTTGCTTCTTGCATAAGGCTGACGTGGCAAAGTCAGTTACGGGGTTACGGATCGGTGGACATAGTGTATTGGATTATTATATTATGTGTCTCGGTTGAGAGTAGTCGTAGTATTATATGTTCATAATTAAATTGTTAAATTGCTGTTAATATACATTGTTGTGGTCTTTCCTTTATTATTAATTCTCCTGAGGACTTTTACCTAACAGTGCAGCGGCGGGATCGTGTTCATTGCTTTTCGAGGTGGCTGTGCAAGGTAATACACGAAATGCATACTTGACTGTTCTGTATGACTATAATGTGAATATATTCGTATGTATGTACATGAACTACGAATTTGGTATATAGGAAGTTATTACTTAGAAGCTAGTATACCTAGTTTCGATTTCTACATGTGTGCGGGTTGTACACAATATACTGGATACAGGATGTACGTAGGTTAAGGTTTAATGCACAGGTTGTGTAACATTTAATGTACAGGATGTACATAAGTAAATATTTAACGTACAGGGTGTACGTAGATTAAGGTTTAATACACAGGTTGTGTAACATTTAATGTACAGGATGTACATAAGTACCTAAATATTTAACGTACAGGGTGTACCTAGGCTATGGTTTAATGCACAGGTTGTGTAACATTTAATGTACAAGGTGTACATAATTTAACGTTTAACGTACAGGATGTACATATGTTAAGATTTAATGTACAGGTTGTATAACATTTGATGTACAGGGTGTACTTAATATGCATGATATAACAATTGATGTACAAGTCGTATGTACAGTGTCATGTGATGCGCAGAGTGCACGACGAATATAGTGGATAAAATACTCTTCCGACCAATATTACTCTATTCACTGATACTGTAGTTGTTAATAATTATGCATGATATTCTTGACTGCATTGTGTACAGGGTGTATGCAAGAACTCTTTTTGGAGATGTTATATGCTTAATTATTTCAAACGGGTGAGCCAAAACAACTTGCTTGGTACTGTCGTATGTGGTAGGTATTTATCTGGGATATGTTATCCTTTAAAGGTTAAACCATGGGCAGGCACCGGAGTCGTAGGAGTCCGTCATCTGGACGAAATAGCCGGAA